CTTCCTGCCTCAGGCTCTGGAGTAGCTGGAACTATAGACACATGCCACCATGTCTGGCTAAATTTTTTTTTTTTTTTTTTCTTTTAGAGACTGGGTTTCACCATGTTGCCCAGGCTGGGAAAATGACCCTTTTTTTTTTTTTTAATGAAAGAATAATAATGGATGGTAGTGGAGCCTAACAAAACCCCCAAACCTCTGGGAAAACGATTTTTGTCTGTGAAACTCTGATGCCTGGGCACCTCTGGTGTGTTCATGCTGACAGGCTGGGGCATTGGGTCAGAAAGACGGGATTACCATCTGCACCCCTCCTGCCTGACTACAGAGAGTGAGAGACCCTTTTCCTGCCCCCAGGAAACTCGGGGTGGAGTGGGGAGACACGGTACCCTGTGTTAACCAGGTGGCCGTGAACAGACAGAGGGAAGCTCGTTCAACCTGCAGAAACTGGGAGAGTCTCCACAGGGGGAGAGGGGCCCTCAGAGGGCTGCGCACAGGGATCATTTGGGGCTGGTGCACAGGGTGGTTATTTGCAGAAAATTGGATTACAGCTTTTTTTGCTTTTATTTAATGTTTGATTAAATAAAACATTTATTTATCAGGGCAACTGTAATAACGTTTATTGCTGCTGGGCGAAGAGCACACCGATTCTGGGAAACCTGCTCCCACACCCAGCAAGCCTCCCCTCTGGACAGGCTCACCAGAGGGGACCTGGGGAGAGGTTTGAGGGTCTTCCTGAGGATGTGTCCATGTTATCCAGTAACTGGATTTTTCCACTTCAGCGACATTCCTTCAGAAGATCCATTTATTGACCTTCCTAAAATTGCTTAAAAGAATCAGAGTAGGCCAGGCACGGTGGCTCATACCTGTAAGCCTAGCAATTTGGGAGGCAGAGGTGGGCGGATCGCAAGGTCAAGAGTTCAAGACCATCCAGGCCAACATGGTGAAACCCCGTCTCTACTAAAAATACAAAAATTAGCTGGGCGTGGTGGCACCTGCCTGTAGTCCCAGCTACTCGGGAGGCTGAGGCAGGAGAATCGCCTGAACCCAGGAGGCAGAGGTTGCGGTGAGCCGAGATAGCACCACTGCACTCCATTCTGGCGACAGAGTGAGACACCCTCTCATTAAAAAAAAAAAAAAAAATCTAGAGTAGGCCAGGCATGGTGGCTCAAGCCTGTAATCCCAGCGCTTTGGTAGGCCAAGGCTGGTGGATCACCTGAGGTCAGGAGCTCCAGACCAGCCTGGCCAACATAGTGAAACCCTGTCTCCACTAAAAATACAAAAATTATCCGGGTATGGTGGTGGGCACCCCTAATCCCAGCAACTCGGGAGGCTGAGAGGAGAATCGCTTGAACCCGGGAGGCAGAGGTTGCAGTGAGCTGAGATCGTGTCACTGTACTCCATCTTGGGTGGCAGAACAAGAATCCATCTAAAAAAAAAAAAAAATTCAGAGTATATTATAGAGCAATTTATACACCCATTCCCCTCATGAAGCGCCCAGGTTTTCTCGACTAGAAACATTTCTGCCGTAAACACCATCGTGTGTCTGCCCTTAGGCTCTAGTGTTCTCCATTACATTTTTTTTGACAAGGAGTCTCACACTGTTGCCCAGGCTGGAGTGCAGTGGCATGATTTCTGCTCACTGCAACCTCCGCCTCCAGGGTTCAAGCAATTCTCCCTGCCTCAGCCTCCTGAGTAGCTGGGATTACAGGTGAGTGTCACCACGCCCAGCTAATTTTTGTACTTTTAGTAGAGACGGGAATTCACTGTGTTGGCCAGGCTGATCTTGAACTCCTGACCTCAGGTGATCCGCCCGCCTCAGCCTCCCAAAGTGCAGGGATTACAGGCGTGAGCCACCGCACCCGACCTCTCCATTACATTTCAATGTTGCCACAATAATTTTCAAAAGTTTTGCGGGGTTCACAGTCCCACCAGCAAAGTGTGAGCGCCTGCTGTGACGAGGACGGCGTCTGCGGTTTTGACAAAGCCGTTGTTTTGTTTCCCAGCCTCTGGACTTCCATCTGGGGATTCTCGCTCCCCCCAGAACTTCACCAGTCCTCAGCTGGAGCGTGGGAAGTGGGGGTTCTGCTGCATCTCTCCCTCTCTGGTGGGGAACCTGCGGCACAGGAACCTCAAACTAACGTGACTCACTCAGGGGAGGTGGTGGTCGTAGGTGGCCCAGCCTGGGGCAGGGACTGGGTCAGATGGAGCAGTTCCCAGCGCTTGTGCTAACCATGGCTGCTGTCTCTGCTTGACTCCAGTTGGCTGGTGGGTGCAGCCCAGCACAGCACACTGAAATCACAGCTCAGTGGCCAGGCATTGTGGCTGATGGCTGTAATCCCAGCACTTTGGGAGGCTGAGGCGGGCGGATCACAAGGTCAAGAGATCAAGACCATCCTGGCCAACATGGTGAAACCCCGTCTCTACTAAAAATACAAAAAATTAGCTGGGCATGGTGGCGCGTGCCTGTAATCCCAGCTACTCGGGAGGCTGAGGCAGGAGAATTGCCTGAACCCAGGAGGCGGAGGTTGCGGTGAGCCGAGATCGCACCATTGCACTCCAGCCTGGGTAACAAGCGAAACTCCGTCTCAAAAAAAAAAAAAAAAAAAAAAAATACAAAAAGTTAGCCCGGCGCATTGGTGGGTGCCTGTAATCCCAGCTACTTGAGAGGCTGAGGCAGAAGAATCACTTGAACCCTTGAGACAGAGGTTGCAGTGAGCCGAGATCGTGCCACTGCGCTCCAGCCTGGTGACAGAGAGACTCTGTCTCACACACACACACACAAAAAAAAATCACAGCTCAGCAAAACCACAGTCCGATCTCTGTCCCTTTAAATTGAGAATCACCTGGGAAACCCCAAACCCTCACCTGAGTCAGAGGACAGCTTAGCTGGGATTCCCAGGAGACAAAGGGTCTCTATAAGGCTCAGCCGGGGCTTCCTTCCTCCCCAGCAAACACCCTCCACGTCTGCAGCTCTGGCCTTCAGGGGTCTGGGCTCCTAGACTCAGCTTCCCCTCCCGCTGTTCAGTAAAGCCTCCCCACCCACTGCGTGTGGAAAAGGTGCAAACAGGTACAGTCCCTGCGGCCACCCCCATCCCTACCCCCCCCCCCGTTTCTCCGCCCGCAGGGTCAGCCAGTGGAGCCGGTGCTGGGTCATTCCACACGTCGGTCGGTTGCCTTTGACACACACAAATGAAACGTGCTTTTCTCCCTTTTCCACACGAGTGGTAGCTCTCTGAACATACTGTCCTGCCCATTTCTTTCTTTCCGCTGCTGCTGCATCTGGTGGACACTTCCAGGCAGCACAGCTTCCCATCTTTCCTGTTTGGGCCAGAGCTCTGGCGCATCCGGACCCCGTATGAATGATCTGAATGTACCAGCGGCTGGCGACCAGCATGTGGGCGGTGCCACATGAGTGAGTGGAGGTATGCAATGTCTCACTTCTGTGAGTGTCTGCAGGGAGAATTCAGAGGGAGAAGGCCCCCTGCTGCTGTTCCTTTGGCGGACAAATCCAGAGGTTCTCACCGGCCCCGACATCCTCCACCTGCTGCGAGCAGTGTCTGCTGGCCAGTCCCACCTGTCAGTGTAGTTTTTATTTGCCAATGTGTTACGTGAAAGAGAAAAAAAGTCCCTTTAGCGGGCTTTTTCTTTTTATTTTTAAAAGGTGGGGTTCTATAATCCCAGCACTTCGGGAGGCCGAGGCGGGTAGATCACAAGGTCAAAAGATCGAGACCATCCTGGTCAACAAGGTGAAACCCCGTCTTTACTAAAAATACCAAAATTAGCCTGGCATGGTGGCGCGTGCCTGTAGTCCCAGCTACTCGGGAGGCTGAGGCAGGAGAATTGCTTGGACCCAAGAGGCGGAGGTTGCGGTGAGCCGAGATCGTGCCATTGCACTCCAGCCTGGGTAACAACAGCGAAACTCCATCTCAAAAAAAAAAAAAAAAAAAAAAAAGATGGGGTTTCACCATGTTGTCCAGGCTGGTCTTCAACTCCTGACCTCAGGTGTTCCACCCACCTCGACCTCCCAAAGTGCTGGGATTACAGGCCTGGGCCACCGCGCCCGGCCCCGGGGTTTTCCTTTTTTTTTTTTTTGACTCTTGCCATCACATCCTGAGAAGGACGCTTGAGTTATCCTCTTTGAGATGGAGTCTCGCCCAGGCTGGAGTGCAGTGACCCGGGACCACCGCTTAGGCAGCCTCCGCCTCCCGGGTTCCAGCGGTTCTCAGGCCTCAGCCTCCCAGGGAGCTTGTCACGGTCGTTTATTGCTAAGGGGAGCTCTGTGGTGTGAGCTGCAGGCTGTGCCCCGTCTCCCACGTGGGGGCCTTTTTGACTTGGCTTATGCAGTTTTGCTCTGCAGACGTCCGCCTCTCCCCACCCACGACCGAGTGGAACCTCTGTGTTCCGCGCCACGCTTGGAAAAGCCGCCTTGTCCCCAAGATGGAAACAGCTTCCCCGAGTTTTCTTCTCGGTTTCGTCGCTTCCTTTTTTAGGCTTAAATCTTCATGGTGGGAATCCATCCCGCCGTAAAGTGCCGCGCGCGCGCACGAGTGGCCACCACGGGCGGGTACTACAGTCCCTGGCACAGCAGCCTTCTCGTCCGGGCGTCACGCGTGGAATTTACACGCACCTGCAGCGGCTCTGCGGCGGGAAGGCTGGGGAGGCCGGCCCGGGGGTGCCGGTGCTGAGGCGCCTGGCTCAGGCCCACGCGCGCGGGGAACGGCAGGGCAGGGCGCGGGCCCCTCTCGGTCCAGGCGGAGGTCCGCGCCTCTGCGCCCCGGGGGCTCCCCGCGCCCGCCACGGAGGTCCCGGCCGAGCGGGGCTGGGACTCGGCGACCCGGAGCTTAAGCCTCGGGAGGAATGTCCTGCGTGTTCCTATCGCGCCCCGCGCTCCCCGTCCGTCCCGCGCTCCCCCCGGACCCCGCGCGTCCCATGTGACCCCGCCCAGCGCCCAGCGTCCGCGCCCGGGTTCCCGGCGGGGCCTGCGGGGCGGGGCCTGCGGGCGGAAGTGCCCGGGGCGACGGCGGCGGGGACCGGCCGGGCCATGGGCGCCGGGGGCAGAGGCGGCGGCGGCCGCAGAGGCGGCGGAGGCTGCCCGGGAGGCGGCGGGGGCTGGCGGCGCGGGCCGCGGGCCGCGTAGCGCCGGGCGGAGCGCGGAGCCATGGGCCGGGCTGGCACCGGGACCTGGGGCGAGGCGGTGGCCGCGGTGGCCGCGGTGGTGGCGGGGCCGCTGCTGTTGCTGCTGCTGCTCGCCCAGCCCCCGCCTTCCGCCGCCGGCGACAGCAGGAAGAGCGGTGAGCGAGCGGCGCGGTCCACCGCGGGCGCGGGGCGGTCACCGGGGGCTCGGGGCCGCCATCGGGAGCGCGGGGCCACCATCAGGGACGCGGGGCCGCCATCGGGAGCGCGGGGCCACCATCAGGGACGCGGGGCGGTCACCAGGGGCGCGGGGCCGCCATCGGGAGCGCGGGGCCACCATCAGGGACGCGGGGCGGTCACCAGGGGCGCGGGGCCGCCATCGGGAGCGCGGGGCCACCATCAGGGACGCGGGGCGGTCACCAGGGACGCGGGGCGGTCACCAGGGGCGCGGGGCCCTCAGGGGCTAGGGCGGGCGGGGCGGGATTGTGACTCTTCCGGGCGCACCTGTGCGCTCACCTGGCGCGGGCGCAGGGAGGGAGTTGGGGGGCTCAGGGTGGCCCTTGGTGGCGCTTCGTGTCCGAGGGATCGAGGCGGACGGGACCCTGCGCTCCCTCCTCGATCCCCCGAACCGGGTTCGGCCACATCGGCCCCTGGGAGCGCCCTCTCCCCTCCTCCTCGCAAAACGCTCAGGTCCAGAGCGCTCGTTGCGCTCGGGACAGGAAAGTGGAGGGGCCCGGGGGACTCTGCCCCGGACTCCCGGCTGGGAGGGAGGAGTGGCTGGGCTTGAGCTCTCCGGCCCCGTCCGGCCCGGGGAGAGCCAGCGCTGGGAGAAAGTTGTTAGACTCTGGAGCGGGTCCCCGGGGCATCATGGCTCCCACAGTGACCACCAGCCCTGATGCCGCCGCTTCCTACGGCCGGCCTTGCTTCTGGGAGGAGGGACTCGCAGCTGGCATAGGAGCCTCTGGTCCGGGGGACTGAGGGGAACTGGGCGCCCCTCTCCCCTCTTGTTCAGAAACTTGCCGGACTGCCTTCGCATTTCTGTTTCCTGAGGGTCCCCGCCGCTGACCACGGTCCAGGGGGAGAAGGTGTTACCCTTCAGGGTCTCCACAGGGTAGGGGCTCGGGTGTGGAGCCCACCCGGAGATGGTGAGGACTTGCCCTGGCTTCTGTGGCCTGGGACTCCCGACTGCCGTGTGGGCCGAGTCCTTGCCAGGCGGCTGATGTTTGCTGTTCCCCGACTTCCCGGCCCCCAGGCGCTCCCCCTTCCCTGAAATATTGCTCCTTTGAGCTCCTGTTTCTTTTGGGGTCTGTGCCCCCTGATTTCTGAGCTTGGCACATCTAGAGATGAAAGGCGGTTTTCCCCGAGGACCGTGTCCCTGATTAAATGGCTCTATGTGCCTGGCGCGGTGGCGCGTGCCTGTAGTCCCAGCTACTCGGGAGGCTGAGGCGGGAGGATCACTTGAGTCCAGGAGTTCTGGGCTGTAGGGCACTAGGCAGATCGGGTGTCCGCGTTAAGTTCGGCCGCAATATGGTGACCTCCCGGGAGCGGGGGACCACCAGGTTGCCTACGGAGGGGTGAACCCGCCCAGGTTGGAAACGGAGCAGGTCAAAACTCCCGCTGATCAGTAGTGGGATCGCGCCTGTGAATAGGCATTGCACTCCAGCCTGGGCAACACAGCAAGACCCCATCTCTTAAAAAAAATAGATATAAAAATAAATAAATGCATACATATATACATAAATGGCTTCATGGTGGGCTTGAAGCTCACGCCAAATCCCAGCACTTTGGGGGGGCCAAGGCACGAGGATCCCTCAAGCCCAGGAGACTGGTCTGGGCAACAAAGGGAGACTCCGTCTCTGTAAAAATTCAGCTGAGTGTGGTAGTATGCGCCTGTGGTTCCAGCGCATGGGAGGCTGAGGCTGCAGGGAGCATGTTCATGGCATTGCACTCCAGCCTGGGTGACAGAGTGAGACACTCAGAAAAACCTTACTCCATTGGAAGATGGCAAAGGAAATTCTCCTCTGTCCCAGAGCTCAGGCCTGGTGAGGGTCCCTGGGAGATGGAACACCTGGGTGTGGGCAGTGGAGAGGCCCGGTGGGTGGGCTCAGCCCCTCAGCTCCTCCCAGCCTGCTGAGGAGCAACTGCTCTGTGCCCCTGGTTTCTGGCTCTGTGGGTGGTCAGGGTCTCCCATGGGTGCCTGTCCTGGTTTGGAGGATATGGGAGACATCCTCCTTCACTCAGATTCCCGGGACAGGCTCAGGGACTTTCACTCCCCGCTTCCCCACCCGGCCCTGTGTCCTGGAGGGGCTGTGGGGCAGGCAGGGGTGTGTGTAACTGGCTCTCCTCGCCCTGTGGTCACTTTGGGCTCAGAGCACCACTAACAACCTGGAACGTGTGGGCGTCTGGAGCGAGAAGCTTGGGCTGCAGAGCCCTGGGAGAGACCCGGAGGGGCTGTGAGCCCTGGGAGAGGCCTGGAGGGGCTGCGGAGAGGCCTGGAGGGGCTGTGAGCCCTGGGAGTTGGGGACTGGGTGTTAGGACAAGCTTGAGCAGATCTCTTATCTGTGTGCACCTGCTGAAACTTCACAGCCATCAGCTGGGTTCTAGGTGTCCTCAGGCTGGTGCTCCAGGGCCAGAGAGGCCCCGGGCTTTGCTCCAGCTGGCCCAGGAGCTTTGAGCTGCAGGTGGCATCCCTTGCCTGCCCTCCCCCCCACCCCAGGCTGCCTGTCTTTCCAGGAAACTGTGGTCCTTGGGGGTTGCCCTGCTTCAGCTCCCAGCACTCGAGCATTATCAGGCCACAGCTGGGTGGGTGGGACCTGGGGGCCAGCCGACACCTGGGAAGCCTAGAATGAATGCATTGTGGACGCAGCCTGCCCCTGCCCAGCTCCCATGCCGGGCTCCCCTGAAGCTTGGCCTGGCTTTGCCAACAGGCTGCTTTTGGCAGGTGCCTCTATGGGAGCGTCATGCGGTTGGCAGCAGAGCCCAAGGTTCACCTGTCTTCCTCCTCAGGAGGGTCCTGGACCTGACCTGGCCGCTCTCCCAGCGACACCGAGTGTGCCAGATGGGGAGCTGCAACTGAGGGGGAGGAGGCCGCACCCTGCGGTGTCCGCTGTGCTTTTCTTCCTGAAGCTTTTGTCACATTAACCTCTGAGGGAGGGGCCTTCCCAGGAGGAAGCTGGGACCCAGGGAGGGAAGGATGCCCAAAGTCACTAAGGCATGAGGCGAGGGCCTGGCCCCAGGCTGGGGGTGAGAGCCTGGGGGTCCTCGCCTGGGGCCACAGGCAGGCTGTCTCCCACGGGTCCTGGCCTGGGGCCGCAGGCAGGCTGTCTCCCACGGGTCCTCGCCTGGGGCCGCAGGCAGGCTGTCTCCCACGGGTCCTCGCCTGGGGCCGCAGGCAGGCTGTCTCCCACGGGTCCTCGCCTGGGGCCGCAGGCAGGCTGTCTCCCACGGGTCCTGGCCTGGGGCCGCAGGCAGGCTGTCTCCCACGGGTCCTGGCCTGGGGCCGCAGGCAGGCTGTCTCCCACGGGTCCTGGCCTGGGGCCGCAGGCAGGCTGTCTCCCACGGGTCCTCGCCTGGGGCCGCAGGCAGGCTGTCTCCCACGGGTCCTCGCCTGGGGCCGCAGGCAGGCTGTCTCCCGCCTTCCTCCATCCCAGCATCAGGCAGGGGCACGTACCCTGAGTACAGTTAGGAGCCTTGCCCATTTGGAAGGCAGCAGGCAGCTATCCCCTTGTTCTCATGGCTGGCCAGGCTTCTGGCCTGGGGCCCCTCCCACATGCAGGGTCTCCCTCTGGGTAAGGGGGAATCTGGGCTCTGGTCTGACTGTGTCCAAAGGCATGATGGCCCTAGCAGGCAGCCAATCCATCCAGTGACGGGGATGTGGGAGGCTCAGAGGAGGTGGGAGGACTGTGCCTTGGTGTCCAGGGCAGATGTGGTGACGCCCGCCGTGTCCCTCAGCTTTGACCTGGGCTGGAGGCTGGAGGCAGTCAGGGTGGCAGTGGGTGCTGGGTGCCCCGGGGCTTGTTTAGAAGCTGCTGCAGTGAGGCAGCCCCTGTGAAAATCCCAGATGCCTGGAGGGTGGGATGTAGGCAGTTTGGGAGAGGAGCCAGAGGACTGGCTGAGGGGCAACGATCTCTAGGGGCCAGAGGGTAGCCATGGCCTTTGCCAGGCTCAGAGTTGGTGTGCCAAGGGCTCCAGGTGGGTCCCTGGGGACTCCCAGCCCTTTTTCTCTGGGGGCCTCGTCCTAGAGGAGGGCTCCCAGCCTGGCTTACGCCTCCTTGTCCTCGCAGAGACGGGGCTGGTGTCCGAGCACTTCTCGCAGGCCCCGCAGAGACTGTCCTTCTACAGCTGGTACGGCAGCGCCAGGCTCTTCCGCTTCCGCGTGCCCCCAGACACCGTGCTGCTGCGCTGGCTTCTGCAGGTCTCGAGGGACAGCGGCGCCACCTGCACGGACGCAGAGATCACCGTGTATGTGGCAGCCTGCCCTCCCGCCCCCCGCCCAGCTTCCTGCGCCTGGCCAAGGCCTGCGCCTGAGCCCCGCGCTGCTCTCCCGTCTCCAGACACTTCCGCTCCGGTGCCCCTCCTGTCATCAACCCGCTGGGCACCCGCTTCCCTGACAACACGTCGGTGCAGCCCTCCTTCCAGGTCAGGTTGCCGCTGAGCGCTGCACCGCTAAGCAATGTCTCGGTCAACGTTTCCCACCCGGCCCCTGGGGACTGGTTCGTGGCCGCCCACCTGCCCCCCTCATCCCAGAAGATCGAGTTGAAGGTGAGGGGGACTGCCCTCTTGGGATGGAGGCAGAGAACCTTGGGGGGTGTGGCCGGCCCCTGCCGGCCATCTCTGCAGGGTGGTCCTTGCTCAGGGGCCAGCCCTGCTCTCTGCACACCTGGGGTTCTGGTGGGACCCTGTCTCCCGCCTGCATCCTCTGACCCCCACCACCCCACCTGTTCTTTCCCTAGGGCTTGGCTCCCACCTGCTCCTATGTCTTCCAGCCTGACATGCTGGCCAAGCGGGTGGTTGAGATTTCCATCGTGGAGCCGGATGTGCCCTTTCCACAGACCCTGGTCTCCCACCCCAGCTACCTCAAGTGAGTGGGGGCCAGGTGCAGCCCAGCTCTGCCCTCCGGCCCTGCCTGGGATTTGGTGGGGTGGCTGAGAGAGCCTGGCCCTGAGCCCTGGGGTTGGGCTGGGAAGTGGTCTAGATGCCCAGCCCCCTTTGGCCCCCACCTGAGTGGGCGGAGGGATGGAAGAGCCTGAGCACACTGCGCCCCCTCGCTGCAGGGTCCCCGCCCATGTGGGCGGAGGGATGGCGCAGCCTGAGCCAGCGGCCTCCTCTCACCACAGGGTCTTTGTCCCCGAGTACACGCGGGAGCTTCTGCTGGAGCTGAAGGGCTGCGTGTCCCACGGGAGCCTGGGCTGCCCCGTGCGTCTCACCGTGGGCCCGGTCACCCTGCCTGGCAACTTCCAGAAAGTGCTCACCTGCGCCGGGGCCCCCCAGCCCTGCCGCCTACTGCTGCCCTCGCCGCCCTGGGACCGGTGGCTGCAACTGACAGCTGAGAGCCTGGTGGGGCCCCACGGGACAGTGGCTTTCAGTGCTGTAGCCACCCTCACAGGTGGGCCACGTGGGGAGGGATGGCCCTGTCCCCTGCCCCCGGACACACAGACCTTCCTCCAACCAAGCCCATTGACCTCTCGGCAGCCTGCAGGCCATGGAGTGTGACCGTGCAGCCCTTTCTGCAGAGTGTGTGGAACCAGACCTTCAACGCCTCTGTTGGTTGGCCGTCCCCAGGCCCTGACCACCGGGACCTGGGCAGGAGTGGCGGGGTGGGCGGCGGACCCTTCTGCCTCACGAATCACCCAGTCACGCGAGAGGACACGGACGTGGTGTCTGTGCACTTCCAGCCCCTGGACAGGCTCTCGGTGACGGTGCGCTCGGACACGCCCTCCGTGATGCGGCTGCGGCTCAACACCGGCATGGACAGCGGCGGCTCCCTCACCGTCTCGCTGCGGGCCAACAGGGTAACCGCCGTCCTGCAAGAGGCCTGTCTGCAAGCGTCCTGTGGCCTGGGCTCGGGCAGGGCTTCCTCGCTTACCTTGGCACTGGGAAAGGCCAGAACAGGGGCCCGTCAGAGGGGGCCTCCCCAGCTGGGCAGCCTTGCTGCTGTCAGCAGGCCCCAGGGCTGTGGGGCAGCTAGGGTCAGAGGTGGGGTTGAGGCAGGGAGTGCCAGGGCCCGGGCAGGAAGGGTCCCGGTGGGCCCATAGGAGTCTCAGTGCCAGGCTGAGCTGGCATGTGGGGCAGATGCCGCTGCTGCCTCTGGGGGCCTGGCCCCGCTGCAGCCGGGGGCTTCTGGGGCTGAGCCAGCACTGGCTCCCTTTCCAGACGGAGATCAGGAATGGGACTGTCGTAGTGGCCTGCATGAATGCCGCCTCACCCTTCCTCAGCTTCAACACCTCGCTCAACTGCACCACAGGTAGGACGGGCAGGCGTCCCCGTCAGCGTGGCCCCGGCCAGACCCCCACCCCGGCCTCCTCTGACAGGTTCTCCGGCCCCCTGCAGCCTTCTTCCAGGGTTACCCCTTGTCTCTGAGCGCCTGGTCTCTCAAGGCCAACCTCATCATCCCCTACCCAGAGACGGACAACTGGTACCTCTCCCTGCAGCTCATGTGCTCTGACAACGAGGAGTAAGTAAGCCTGGGGCAGGGACGGGAGTCAGGCACCCTGTCATTTCGCTCAGGACCACGGCCCTGGCTACCTGGGGCTGGTGTTCGGAGTGACCCAGCTATCAGGGTGCTTCCTCCAGGGCTGCTGAAAGCTGGGGCCTCCATGCTGGGTTCTTGTGTCCGTTGGCCAGTTGGCTGACAGATCCCTGCACCAGCTTTCCTGTGGCCCCTTCCTCAAAGGGACTGTGAGCAGGCCGCAGTCCACGTGGAGACCACCTTGTACCTGGTGCCCTGTTTGAATGACTGCGGACCCTATGGCCAGTGCCTCCTGCTCCGCAGACACGGCTACCTCTATGCCGGCTGCAGCTGCAAGGCAGGTGAGCGCAAGGGCCCTGCCCGCCCCGGGACACTGTTGCTGTTGCCTTCCCAGTGCTGTGCCATGCCTTTCCCCTGGGGCTGGAGAGAGACCCCTGCAGAGCAACGCAGGGGCAAAGCCCCCTCCCTCCTTCCCTGTTCCCCACCAACAACCCGTCTGCTGGGCACAGGCACGAGATATCCCTGGGGGTGGAACTTGGTTCCCACCCGCCTTGCCTGCCCAGCTGGCTCCTGGATGAGGAAGGGGCTTTTCTGCAGGGTCCTGGGTAAGGGGTGGGCCCTGAGGTTCGGCAGTGCCCCCAGCCTCCGCCCCGCGGGTTGTATGCCCCCAGGCTGGCGTGGGTGGAGCTGCACGGACAACAGCACGGCCCAGACGGTGGCCCAACAGAAGGCAGCCACGCTGCTGCTGACGCTCAGCAACCTCATGTTCCTGGCCCCCATCGCCGTGTCAGTGCAGCGCTTCTACCTGGTGGAGGCCTCCGTCTACGCCTATACCATGTTCTTCTCCACGGTAGGCCGGACCCTCCCACAGGGGCGTGGGGTGGGAGGGGGCTGCGCTCACTGGGCCTCCCCACAGTTCTACCACGCCTGCGACCAGCCCGGGGAGGCTGTGCTGTGCATCCTCAGCTACGACACGCTGCAGTACTGTGACTTCCTGGGCTCCGGGGTGGCCATCTGGGTCACCATCCTGTGCATGGCACGGCTCAAGACACTGCTGAAATACGTGAGTGACCCTCGACGCCGGGGTGTGGTCTCTGGGGGAGCAGGACCCCCAGGTACAGCCTGTACAAGGCAGTACAGAGGGAGAGGCCAGACCTGACTGTGGGCACGGCCCCTGGAAACGCCTATCTTGCTGAGCGTGGTGGCCCACACCCATAATCCCAACACTTTGGGAGGCTGAGGTGGGAGGATCCCATGAGGCCAGGGGTTCAAGAGCAGCCTGGGCTATACAAAAAACCCCAAAAAGTTAGCTGAGTGTAGTGGTGCCTGCCTGTGGTTCCAGCTACTCAGGAGACTAAGGTGGGAGGATTGCTTGATCCCAGGGATTGGAGGCGCTGAGGTGAGCTGAGATCACAGCACTCCAGCCTGGCTGACGAAAGCAAAGGAAAGAGGAACCTCGTGTGTTACGTGATGCCGCACGGACACGAGGCTCTGAGGCCCCATGGGCAGATGGGAGGGAGCACTGCTAGCTGTTTGGAGGATGCCAGGAAGGAAGGGGGTAGGCAGGGAAGGCCAGGGTCCCCACCTGTGCTCCCTGGGTCCTTCGTGCCAAGGATGCCCTGGAGACTCTGTGGCAGCCAGTGCTGTCACAAGAAGACTTGTGCCCTGGGCCTGTGAGCTGCATGCTCTGCCCTCCTGTCTGCTCTGGGAACTGCAGGCTGGGTACTGCCCCAGGGGGGTGCCCATGGGAGCCCCACTGCCAGGGTAGCCGGGAGGCTCACAGGCACCAGGGTCCTGCAGGGCCGAGTGCAGGTTCTGAACCTGCAGAGAGGTGGAGAACTGCAGGTTGTGAGCAGAGGTATCTGATGGAGGCTCAGGGATGGGACCTCCTTGCCATGGAGCAGTGGGTGGGAAACTGAAGCTGCCCTGATGGGAGACTCCTGGAAACCCAGGGGTGCAGGGGGCTGGTGAACGTGTGGGTGCAGAGCTGCCACACATGGCTGTCCAGTTTGTGTGACCACCTTCTAGTCCCCCAGAGGTGTCTGCCTGGCCATACTCACCTGCGGATGCAGTACAGAAGCTGAAGGAGGGGTGCTTCCTGGCCAGCTGGCAAAGCTGGTCGAAGGGTGCCAGCAGCTCGGAGGGGGACAGGCAGAGGTGCTGTCCTGCCGGGCCTGGGGCCCTCAGTCATCCCTGTGTCTTACCCAGGTGCTGTTTCTCCTGGGCACACTGGTCATCGCCATGTCCTTGCAGCTGGACCGCAGGGGTATCTGGAACATGCTGGGGCCCTGCCTCTTTGCCTTCGTGATCATGGCCTCCATGTGGGTAAGGAGCCGGGCTGGCTGGCGCTCCTGCCCAAATGGTCGGAGAATAGGGCCCGGCCCCTTGCTCTGGCCATGTTCCCATCACTGAATGCCCACATCTGCTGGGGCTGCCGTGCCACCAATAGGGGCCCAGCACGGCTGTATCCCTGAGGACCAGTGGGCTTGAGCCCCCTGGAAGCAGCGCAGTCTTGTGGTTCAGCTGCCCAGACCTGGGCAGGCCCCCAGTAACCACTGTTCCCGGGCCCTGGGAGCGACAGCCCCAGCCCCACCTGCACTGAGGCCTGCGTGGCCGTTTTCTCCAGGTGTACCGCTGCGGGCACCGGCGCCAGTGCTACCCCACCTCGTGGCAGCGCTGGGCCTTCTACCTCCTGCCCGGCGTATCCATGGCCTCCGTGGGCATTGCCATCTACACCTCCATGATGACCAGCGACAACTACTACTATACCCACAGCATCTGGCACGTCCTGCTGGCCGGGAGCGCGGCCCTGCTGTTGCCGCCGCCTGCCGAGCCCGCCGAGCCCTGGGCCTGCTCGCCGAAATTCCCCTGCCACTATCAGATCTGCAAGAACGACCGTGAGGAGCTGTACACAGTGACATGACACCGGCCGGGGGACCCCCGCTGCTCCGACAACCTCTTCAGCCAGGAGCTGTATGGAGGGGGTGGCACCCCGTCCAGCCCTGGGGAAGATTGATTTCCAGCTGAATAAAATTGGCCTGCGCACCGTCTCTCTTCCTCCTACCGAGGGGATGTCCTCCAGCAGTCGCACCTCTGCTGAGTTCCCTCGTGTTGCTTGTAGAGGACAGGGGTCTGTGTGAGGGTGGGGCCGTGTGCTCTGCCTGCCTGCGGAGGGCTAGAGACGGGGAGAAGGACTCCCTGTGATCCTGCTCCCTGGCGAAGCTGGGGCTCAGGAGGCCTAAGCCCACCACTGTGGTTGGGAGCTGTGCCCTCCCAGAACCCTGGTCCTGGCCCCTGGGTGCCCCTGGTGCCAGCCTGTCTGGAGCATGGAAGATCCCCCTCTGCTACTGGGGTCATGATAGGGACAGGTGACCAAGGTCCCCCCCAGAGCTGATGGGCACTGAGAATGCAGCCTCCTGCCCTGCCCCTCGCTTTTTCCTGGCTCTGGAGCAAGGGGTCTCTGCTCTGCTCCTCTGGGGGTGTGGCCCACAGGGAACCCTTACCCAGCCGGGTCCGGCCCACCCTTGTGTTTCGGGGGGGCCCCCCCGGGGAAGCCTCCTCTTGGTCCCAGGAGCTGTGGTGGTGGCTGCCCCCTGCACCAGGCTGTCTCTGTGCTAGGGAGGTCTTCTGGAGTCTGGGCTGGGTGGGGGTTCCCTGTTGCAAGGCTACCAGGAGCAACGCCGGGCCCCTCCCTGAGGCCTGTGAGTGTCTCCCATCCTGCCATGGAGACCTGCTCTCAGGGCTTCCCTTCCGGGTCTCGTCCTGAGCGTGGGCTTCCCGAGGGTCTTACCCCCATCCCCAGCCACCCTGCACTTGACCACCAAAGCAATCTCTAGGCTTATAAAAGAGAAACATGTACATACGGGGTTTTTTGGGGTAAAAGAAAATTCTGAAGCATTAAGACATATTTTTATGTAGATCTGATTTATCTGTGATTGGTGAATTTAATATTCTACAGTGACTTTTCAAACTAAGCGAGTTTTTACATTTTTTTCTGCGCTCCTTTCCGGGGAGGGGGAGGTGTGGCCGGGGGAAAACAAGCCCCACGACGCCCTTCGCGGAAACGCCGGGGCCGCACATTGCCAACGGTGCCTTGAGCGGCTGCCGCTGTCTCTGCAGGGTGTTTTTCACGGTCCCTAAAGTCGGGAGATGGGGCGGGACCGGGGGGGGGGTAGACGGATGGATTTTGCAGCCAATCAGCGGTGGGAGAGGGTCAGGCATGGCAGATCGGCTTCCGGTTCCGGTGGGGCGCCGAGTTCAGAGCTCTGAAAGGTGGGCTCAGGCAGGTGTGTGGGCGGGGGCCGGGGCAGCCGGGGAGGGGCAGGTGGGCTCAGGGCGGGGACCGGGGAGAAAGCCGGGGCGGGGGTAGGGGTAGGGGGTGAGAGCCGGGGGCCGGGGCCGGGGTAGGGGTAGGGGGCGAGAGCCTGGGGCCGGGGCAGGGGTAGGGATAGGGGGCGAGAGCCGGGGGCCGGGGCCGGGGTAGGGGTAGGGGGCGAGAGTCTGGGGCCGGGGTAGGGATAGGGGGCGAGAGTCTGGGGCCGGGGTAGGGGTAGGGGGCGAGAGCCGGGGGCCGGGGTAGGGGTAGGGGTAGGGGGCGAGAGCCGGGGGCCGGGGTAGGGGTAGGGGTAGGGGGCGAGAGCCGGGGGCCGGGTTAGGGGCAGGGGTAGGGATAGGGGGCGAGAGTCTGGGGCCGGGGTAGGGGCAGGGGTAGGGGGCGAGAGTCTGGGGCCGGGGTAGGGATAGGGGGCGAGAGCCGGGGGCCGGGGTAGGGGTAGGGATAGGGGGCGAGAGTCTGGGGCCGGGGTAGGGGTAGGGGGCGAGAGCCGGGGGCCGGGGTAGGGGTAGGGGTAGGGGGCGAGAGTCTGGGGCCGGGGTAGGGGTAGGGATAGGGGGCGAGAGCCGGGGGCCGGGGCCGGGGTAGGGGTAGGGGGCGAGAGTCTGGGGCCGGGGTAGGGGTAGGGGGCGAGAGCCGGGGGCCGGGGTAGGGGTAGGGGTAGGGGGCGAGAGCCGAGGGCCGGGGTAGGGGCAGGGGTAGGGGGCGAGAGTCTGGGGCCGGGCCGGGCCGGCTGGGCTGCGGGTGAGTGTGAGCCCCCACCTTCCTCCAGGCCCGCGATGCCCCTGCACAAGTACCCCGTGGGGCTCTGGAAGCGGCTGCAGCTGCGGCAGGGCATCTGTGCCCGCCTGCCCAAGCACTTCCTGCGCTCCCTGGAGGAGGAGCGGACGCCCACTCCCGTGCACTATAGGCCCCATGGAGCCAAGTTCAAGATCAACCCCAAGAACGGTCAGTGGGAGCGTGTGGAAGACGTGCCCATACCCATCTACTTTCCCCGCGAGTCCCAGCGGGGGCTGTGGGGCGGTGAGGGCTGGATCCAGGGACAAAGATACGCCAACAACGACAAGGTGGGTCAGCCGGCGGGCTTCAGGGGCTCCTCCCGGGCACCTGGGGTACCTTGGAGAGACGCCATGGGTCCTGGGGGTTACAGCTGGTGGAGACGCTGCTCCGACAAAAGAGAACGCTGACAGTGAAGAACCACAGTTCTGGCAAACAGGACTGATAAAACAGGGGTGAGGAGGGGTGATCCAGGTTGGGGGAGCAGCCAGAGGCCCTGGGAAGTCAGGTAGAGTTAGGATGGGGAGGCGACCTGTGTGTGGAGCAGAGCAGGTAGGGGAGACGAGGCTGGCGGTCGGCCGCCTGCCCACTAAACTCCCCTGGGACACCTGTGAGGCCTTCCAGCTCCTAATTTGTAGTTGGATGAGGATGTGAGGGTCGAAGTCCTCTGGAGGGCAGAGCTTCGAGGCTGCTCTGGTGGCACTGTTGAAGCCTCTGGGAGACCTGTGTCACCTCCAGCTTGGAATGTGATGGCCTGTGAACTGTAGGGTTGCACGTACTTCTCATGCAGCGGCACCCATTCGGCAAGGGCAGGAACAGCCAGCTTGCTGGGGAGCAGCTGACCTCCGAGCATGCAGCCAGGTCCAGGGCTCAGCCTAGGGCAGCACTGGGCTGGGGGCCCAGCCCATCCAGCTTCAAGTCCCCAGCCTCACAGCAGTGCTTCTGTGATGGAGTCGCCTGGGGAGGGGGAGGGCAGTTCCCTAGGGCCCCCTTGGTCTGTAGGGGAAGCAGCAGCACTCACAGGGGCTCTGTCACCTCCTCAGCTCTCCAAGAGGCTAAAGAAGGTGTGGAAGCCACAGCTGTTTGATCGAGAGCTCTACAGCGAGATCCTGGACAAGAAGTTCACCGTGACCGTGACCATGCGGACTCTGGACCTCATCGACGAGGCCTATGGGTTCGACTTTTACATCCTCAAGGCAAGCAGGGTGGGGTCTGCTGTGCCAGTCAGTGCACGTGGGGTCTGGGAAGGGCCAGTTAGACACAAGGGATCCCCAGGTCAGCATCACACCAGGTCCTAGCAAAGCGTGAATGGGGCCATGCCCCTTTCTGGTGCGCGCCAGTGGGGCTTCCTGCCTGCAGGAGAGGCCGTTGTTCTGTGGGTGTCTGACTCACCTGTGGGTCCTGAGTGAGCAGAGCCACCTCTCCCTGCTCTCTGTCTCCTGATCCCAACCCTGTGCCCAGGTGCTGGGGTAGCCCTGCCCGGGCCTTCTCTGGCGTGTCCAGACACCACCAGCTGCTAGAGAGGAGCCCAGTGGGTTGGCTGGAAGGGTAGGAGGGCCCTGCCACCAGCACCTGGTCCCATGTGAGCCTCCTGCCAGACCCCGAAGGAGGACCTGTGCTCCAAGTTTGGGATGGACCTGAAGCGGGGCATGCTGCTTCGGCTTGCCCGGCAAGACCCCCAGCTGCACCCGGAGGACCCCGAACGGCGGGCGGCCATCTATGACAAGTACAAGGTGAGGGTTTCCATCCTGCTCCCTGCGCCTGCAGCCTCCTGACCCGGCCCTGGGCCTCACTGCACTTTCTACCTCTGCCTGCCTAGGAATTTGTCATCCCAGAGGAGGAGGCAGAGTGGGTGGGCCTCACGCTGGAGGAGGCTATTGAGAAGCAGAGACTTCTGGAGGAGAAGGTGAGAGTGTGAGCACCAGCCGCTGCTGCCCACCCAGGGCCTGGCGTCCGGGGCTGGGAAGTGTGCTGCTTGGACAGAGCCTGCACGAGGGGCCGCTGCACTGGGTGGGCCTGGGGAGGAGCTGCTGCTCTGCACTGCCCCCACAGAGGAGCACGGCCCACTCCCTCCCCCGAGTCCCCACCCTCTCCTGCCGCAAGACTCGCAGTAGGAGGCACCTGCACGGAAGCTTTGGGCGGCCACCAGCATCTGAGGGTCTTCTTCCTTTCTTTCTGTGCCCTGGAGAGCTCTGGGGCCCCAGCATCTGAGGGTCTTCTTCCTTTCTTTCTGTGCCCTGGAGAGCTCTGGGGCCCCAGCATCCGAGGGTCTTCGTCCTTTCTCTGTTGCCTGGAGAGCTCTGGGGCCCCAGCATCCGAGGGTCTTCTTCCTTTCTCTCTGTGCCCTGGAGAGCTCTGGGGCCCCAGCATCCAAGGGTCTTCTTCCTTTCTCTCTGTTCCCTGGAGAGCTCTGGGGCCTGTGGTGGCTGTCGGGACAGGGAGCCCCTGATGGGGTGGCAGCTGGCTGCCCCCGTTCCCTCTCTTTATGACCACAGGGACAGGACAGGGCAGGTGTGTGCCTCCAGTGTCCCCAGGGGAGGGGGCTCCTCATCTCACAGGGCTCTGCCCTCCAGGGCTTCTCATGCCCCAGTTCCTCAGGTAGCAGCTGCTGGTCCCGTTCCCGCCAGGACTCCAGCTGCTCTGGGCTTCCCTGGTCTCACCGTGAGCCCTTCTCTCCTTCAGGACCCTGTACCCCTGTTCAAGATCTACGCGGAGGAGCTGCTCCAGCGGCTGCAGCGGCAGGCACTATCAGAGCCAATGCTGGTGCAGAAGAGAGCCAGTGGCCAGTGAGCGCACAGCCCCTCCGTGCCTGGCCTCCAGGCTCAGCCTTCCTCGCCAGGCCTTTTGCACTGAGGATACAGATTCTGGGGGGCAGTGAGGGCCACCAGTGGGTGGATCCTGCGGCTTCCAGCCTGGGGCCGCCTTGGCAGGGATCCCCAGGAGGCCCTCCCAGGGGCCCACGCTCGGGCAGTGCTCCTTGTGCCCGTGAGGCCGGGAGCGAGTAAAGTCTGGGCCAGGCTGCACGTGTGCATCTTTGCTCTGAGGACTGGCGTTCTCTTTGGGGATCCTGACCCTGTCACCCCTGGCCCTGCTGCCCCTGAGACCGCCGATGGGCCGTGGGCATTGACTCCAGCTGTCCATCCCCAGCTGAGCCTAACAGACTGAGGTTCCATTCTGTGTCTTTTTTTTTTTTTTTAAAGACAGAGTCTTGCTCTGTTGTCCAGGCTGGAATGCAGTGCTGCCATCTCAGCTCACTGCAACCTCCGACTCCTGGGTTCAAGCAATTCTCCTGCCTCAGCCTCCCGAGTAGCTGGGACTGCAGGGTCCCATCATCATGCCTGGCTGAATTTTGTATTTTACTAGAGACGGGATTTCACCATGTTGGCCAAGCTTGTCTGGAACTGCTGACCTCAGGTGATCCACCCGCCTTGGCCTCCTAAAGTGCTGGGATGACAGGTTGGAGCCACTGCCCCGGCCCAGTCCTGTGTTTGTCTTTCCTCTGGTAGAGGGTCTGGTGTAGCTGGGGGCATCCAGGGTGCACTGCAGTGACACCCATTCCCTTTCCGTTGCACATTCCTGCCCTTCTGGAACATTCTCCAGAGCAGGGCAAGGGAGGCTGTGGCCTGGCTCTGCCAGGACTGGAAGGAACCAGGAGGGGCAGGCCCTCAATGAGGGCAGTGCTGGTGGCAGCTGCCTGAGTCAGGAGCCTCTGCCTGGTCAGCACTCTTGTGGCATAGTGGTGCAGGAGCTGGGGGGTGACATGAACTTGGGGGACCTGCAACCTTGGTGTCCCCTCCTCTGCTAGCTCCCACCTGACCTGCAAGGTGGGGGCGTGGCCAGCAGGAAGCCAGGCTGTGTACCCTAAGGCTTTTCCGGCCCTGAGGTTTAGGGGTGTCTGACCCTCTCCCCCAACCCTTACCTGGAAATCCTGATCCTCCAGACCCATTTGGTTCTGCTAGGGAGCACAGGGAGGGCTCCTCCAGCCACACGTGCAGGATGACAAGGTGGGGTTCATGTTCCCTGAGCCCAAGCCAGCCCCAGCTGGTGGCAGGATGGCGCGAACTGGAGGCAGCTGCTCGACTGGGGCCTGATGGCTGATTGAGGGGCCCTGGCTCCCAAGGGGATGTGGCAGAGTCCAGAGGGAGTGTGCAGCTGGCCCTGCTGTACCTCAGAGGAGCCCGTGGTTCCTGGGGTCATACAGGGTCATGGGTCAGGACCTGCCTGGTTCAGAGCCCTGGGATTGCTCTGAGGTCTCAATCTGTCCACACCTGGCACCTCTGTCCACGTGTCCTTGTGCTACCTACACACCCGTGCCTTTGTGCAACATCCCTGCTCTGTGAATGAGCGGCCAAGGCAGGTGGATCACCTGAGGTCAGGAGTTCAAGAACAGCCTGGTAAAACGCTATCTCTACTAAATACAAAAAATTAGCAGGGTGTGGTGGCAGGTGCCTGTAGTCCCAGCTACTTGGGAGGCTGAGACAGGAGAATCACTTGAACCCAGGAGGCAGAGGTTGCAGTGAGCTGAGATTGCGCCACTGCACTCCAGCCTGGGCAACAAGAGCAAAATCGTCTCAAAAAAAAAAAGTATGAAAAGCAGACAGTGCTCAGCTAGCCCCTGCCCCAACTCTGGGAGGCCATAAGGCTCAGCCAAGCTGCCCACACTATGGGTGCTGTTCCAGGCCCCAGCTCTAGCCAGAGTTGTGTTCTGGCCACTCCCTGCCCCCACCTACAGTTCCCATGTTCAGCCCTGAACTTAAGTCAAGCATTCTCCAGCCCCTCCGCCTGCCCTGGCACGTCCCAGCTCAGGCCTTAGTGGCTGCTCCTAACTCACCACCTGCTCTATCCCTCTCCAGCCAAGGACCCAGGGCAAGCAGGGCTCCTGCCAAGGGTTTCCTGTGTCAGGCTCAGGGGGCCCCGAGGAGTTAGGGGCTAGACTTGGAGGTGGGCTGGTAGGCGCTGGCCTCAGTCCCCCTGTGGGCAGTGGTGGGACGCCCTGCATGGACTCGGTTGTGGGTCTGGGCCCAGGCTGTCCGCCGGCCAGTGGGAGGAGCTACGTTTGGCCTCAGCAGGTCACCTGTGCCAGTCACCTCGCTGGAGCCCAGGGCTGTTCGGTCCTCCCACGGGGAGGCCAGGGCAGACAGGTGGGGTCTAGGCGTGGTCAGGGCCCCGACTGCTTTTTGGTCAGAGGCCACAAAAGTCCTTGATTGAGAAAAGGGTAACAGGCCTTCAGTGAATGCCAGACCCATCTCTCCCCGAGGATCACACAGTGAGCCAGGGGCTGTACCCGCTCAGACATGCACATACTCAGGACACGTGCGGAACCAAGAACTGAGCTGGGAACCCGGGAGCTGACCTGGGAATGGCTGCTGGCCACTCTTCCCTCCCTCCCTGCGCCCATCCCTTCCAGAGCCAGGCCAGGCTGGGGCCACCGGACCCTCCTTCTGCCGTCCTCACCAATCATATCTGTCAGGCTACTTGCTGAAGTGCTGGGCTCCATCTCTGAGAACATCCAGTTCCCCTCACTGAGGCCTGCAGATCCTCAGGTGCCTGAAGCAGGAGGACGTCTGTGCAGAGCAAGGTCAGCCCCACAGGAGGCAGAGCTGCCATGCACTGGCCCAGCCTCTCAGAGCCTTCTGGGGCCGGGAGTCCCCACCACGTGTCCCAGGCTTGGCAGAGCCCATGTGTTTCCGTGACCACAGTCAGCCTCGGCTATGGGCAGGGGTCCCTTGGGGGTAGAAAATCAGAGGCCTGGAAAGGGTGTCAGTGACCCCCATCACTCCACCTAGAGATGGGGAAGCCAAGGCCAGGAAGGGTAGGGTGGAGTGGATGTGAGGCTGGCCTGGGGCACCCAGTCCCAACTCCATGCCTGACCGCTGACCCCAAGGGTCTTGCCTGCTTCCTGACTCTGGCTTAGGTGCACAGAAGCATCAGGATAGTGGAGAGAAGGGTGTGGAGAGCCGGCAGGCCCTCTGGGTCCCCTGGCACCTCTGCTCCTGCCCTGTGCCTGTGAGGGTGTTGGGAGCCCATGGGAGCTGCCGGGAGGCCACTGCGTGTCCCGTGGGCCTGTGCCAGTCTGCGCCTCCACCCTCAGTCCTTGGCCACCCTCTCCCTCTCACCAGTGCCTGCCTGTAACTCTGTCCCTGACATGGGCTGGGTTGTGTGGGGCTCCCAGGCTCCCTCCAGTTCTTATCCCTCTGACACCCACCAGCCACCCAAGCTGGAGCCCTGGCCACATGGCCACGTGTGCAGCAGCAGCCTGGGCTCCGTGCAGTCTTGGCTCCTCTGGTGCAGTACCCTGCAGTCATCCCCAGGCTGGCTCCATACCCAGAAGGGCACTCCAGCCCGAGAGCATCCTCTGCAGCCACTGCCTGCTTTCGCGGGCTGGGGTCCCCACCCACACCCGGTCTGCTGGTAGCTCTGAGCACGGTATTGGGAGGGGCTTCAAGACTGGGCTCTATCCTGGGACAGGCAGCCCAGGACCAGGCCAGGCTAGTGTGAGGAAGCCCAGAGCCAGGTCGAGTCCTGGTAGCGCAGCCAAAGCCCAAAATGCCTGGCGCTCAGGCCATGCCAAGCCCAAATCCCTGGGGCCAGCCCTGAACTCTTGACTGTGGGATCCCCATACACCCATGCTGCAGGCTCCCCTGGCTCTCAGGTCCCTCTGGCCGTGGCGGCGGTCTCCCTGGGCTGCAGCAGCCCTGGCTTCTGCACAGAAGCCCACGGCTCATGCTTGCTCCTTGTGGCCCTGGAGCTGTTCACCACCAGATTCTGCTCATCAGGTGCGGGAAGGGCCTGGGCCAGGAAGGGTGTCTCAGCTTTCCCGGATTAGTGGAGGCCTCCAAAGGGGCCTTGGCCAGGCGGTGCTGCTGCAGGGCACTTGGACAAGCCAGCACTGTTTCTGGCTGTCACAGGGTTGGGAGTGGGGGTGGCTCCGGGGATGCTCGGTGCCCTGCAAGGCCCAGGATGTCCATGGGTGATGCTTGAGAAGCCTGGTCTCCAGACACTGGGGGAAGCCTTGCCAGGGGCGGAGGTTGCTGCGCCATGGTGGGAAGAGGCGTTCTTGGGACACAAGAGGGCACTGCAGCCCAGGGGAGAGCAGGTGTGGCCACGGGTGTGCACCTGCTGGCTGGACAGTCTGCTCAGCATGGCCAAGGTCCCAGAGTCCTGCCCAGCGGGAACACAAGGTCCAGGGAGCAGGGCCACGGGAGGGGCCTTCAGAGGGCTTGTAAGACGGGCCGTGTGAGCACGTGTGTTCCACAGGCCGCAGCCAGCGGGAGGGTGGTAAAGTGGATTGTGGGAAGATAAAGCTGGCAGCCTTTGCCGTCGGAGGTGGGTGAGAGCTTGGCTCTGCCCACTGTGGGGGTGGGGAGTTCTCCCTATTCTCCCACCCACTGTTCCTACCCTTTATTTTCCCACCAGACTGGGCCTGGCCTTCAGCCCCTGGGGCAAGCCTGACCTGAAGTCCTCCTCTCAGCAGGGGCTGGAAGGCCAATTCTCCCACCTCTGCTGGGGGTCAGGCAGGGCATGGAGTGGCCCTGGACAGGCCAGGAGAGGGACAAGGACCCCACACACTGGACATGAATGAAATACACGCAAACGCTTAACAGCTGTTGTGGGAACAGCTACCATGCAGCCGTGCCCGGCTCGTTCCTCCAAGGGGACCCTGGCATGGGCCCACGGGCAGCGCCGCCTGCTCCCTCGGCAGTCAGGAGTGGCTCGGGGGTGGCGGTGTCTAAAGGGGCTGGTTGCCATGGCTACCATAGGGTTCCGAGGCCCGTCATCTGGTCCCTGCTTCAGCCAATCGGCGGCGGGAGCCCGAGCTGCAGCCCAGAGTCACGCTTCTGCCTCCCAGCCACACAGTGGCCAAGAGCAGGGACCTGCTTCCTGGAGTGGCTGAAAGTGCTCGGACAGACGTCCAAGCCCATCATGGCGGACAGCGGGACGGTGGGGCAGGAGCAGGCACACGGAGCCAGGCAGGTGAGGTAAGCCGGGCAGGCGGCCGGGCGGACAGGTGGGCGCGCCTCCT